GAAAGGGGGAAAGGGGGGAAAGGGGGAAAGGGGGGGAAGGGGGAAAGGGAGAAGGGGGGGGGGGTGAAACCCCCGATTTCGTTTCGATGAAACGCAGCGGTTTCCCAACCTAATCGATCTCGACCGATATAAAAGAATAAAGGCGAAAAAAAAACACGCGTGCCATCGATCTTCCGCGTCGCGACGAAAACCGACGACGACGAGTCGCGACAAATGGATTAGGGAAACCCTCATCCAAGTAATCAAGTCCCTACCCGATTCTCCGTTTGATCCGCACTATCGTCTCCGCAGAGCCGTTATCGCGTCCGTAAATTCCGCCTTAACGACGGCTGTTCCCGGTCCGATGAGATCACTCGCGCTCCCGTTTCGAACGTTCCGATTCTCGGAATCATCATTCCTAATCGATCCCAAAATAAATCCCGAACCACCTCGACGAGACGTCGGATCGATGACGCCGAGAGGATCTCCGCCGGTGAAAGTCGGGAACGGACGTCGCGAGCGTCGAGTACTTATCGAGTACTTGGTACTTATCGAGTACTTGGTACTCGCGACGGCCGATCGGAGGAAAGAAAGTTCCGCGATCAAAAACGACATTTCGAGAGGAACGGACAGGTCTCGGACCGTCGCTAATTCGCAGGAAAGTCGACTCGTTCCCAGCGAATCGGAAACGGATACGGCCGATATATTTCCCGGCAAAAAGTACAAAAATCCCAGTACGAAAGTACTGCGAGTACGAAACGCACCCAGAAGGAGGCAGCAGTCCCGCGGAAGAGAGAGAGAGATGGGACCAGGCTTCCTCTTCATTTGTCGGGATGAGACCGAACGACCGACATGAATCATCGCTGTTCATGAGAGGGTTCACCAAGTCCCATCCAAAAAAACCTACCTTACTTTCTATCACGCTTTTATCTTGGCCTCTGCCCAAACCAAGGGAAAGAAGAACGGGGGGGAGGGGGGGGAGGATGGAGGGAAGGAGGGAGGGAAAGGAGGAAATGGAGGAAAAGGAGGGGAAGGAGGGAGGGAAAGTCGCCCCTGCCTGCCAACAGGTGAATGCAATAAGATGTAAGATAGAATACATGTACCTATGCAGCATTAATATTAGTCTGGGGCGTAAGCGAAGCCACTGGCACTCTTCCAACTCCCAAGACAGAGAGGCCCTCCGACGAGATAAGGGTGAAACCTCCCACGGCAAGGGTGAGACGGCGGGTCGGCGAGAGAACACGTGCCGATCCGCAGCGCTTCTCGACCCGACGTTTCTTTTCGCGAGAGAGAGGATCCGCATGAAAAATGGGCTTTCCGAAAGAGAAAGAATTTATGGCACCGGGATACGCGAAGTCCGGAACTGGAATGAATTACGGCGTTCTCCGAGGAATTCGCCTCGATCCGTCTTCTAGATTACTATTCATCTCCGAGAAATGAAAAAAACAGACGAGGGAATTGAATGAGAGTGAACTCACGGAACGAGATGGCGAAAGCCAGAGACGAAAACCCCCCACTCCAAGAGAAAATCCATTTCCCCCCCCCCCCCCCCCCCCCTCTTTCGAGACACCGCCTCGGACCATTTCCGTGAGTCATGTCCAGGAAAAGACAATTTTTCGACACGAAGACAACGCTTCGGGGCATGTTTGAATTTTCTTTTCGTCTTAATCTTCCGCTTTCAATCGAAGAAATGGTGTCGCCGGTCCGTCTTCATTTTTTTCTTTTTAAATTGGAAGCATGCGGAGAATGGAAGAATATCAGGACTCAGTGGAGCAGAGGAAAGGTCACATCGAGATGCCTTAAAGGATCCTTCCCTTCTGGAGCCATTTGCGGTCGTGTGGATTATCCCCTCTCTTCAAACTTCACCGAATTGGGGAAGCCAATGCCAATGACTCGCATTTACATTGGCTACAAAAGTGACGAAATTGGCTAGCTGCAAGGTTCGTGATGGAACTCGAGTCCGAGGTCTTCTCGTTGACAGTGGCCGTCCCATCACGAAAAGGACATTTAGAAATGGGGTCAGGATGAAGAGTCGATGGCACCTGGTGTTTCCGTTTTCATATCAGGACCTTTTCCAAAGGGCAAGGAGTCGAAGCAGACGCCCAAGGAAGGTCAGAGGATTCTTCTCGCGGGAATCCAACATTTGTTGACGTCTCGGGAGGGAGGACCCTCCCTCTCGGTAGGGAGGACCCTTCCCCTCAGTAGGGAGAACCCTTCCTCCACTTTCGGCATCGCTCGCCGGAATGGGAACAGCTTCCGTGGGAAAACTCAAGTATTTGTGCAATATTTTCCATCTTCGCCGGAGTTTTCTTCTCGTCAACAGCCAAAAAGTTTTTTTTTTTTTTTCAAAGAAGTCGATTCCACATCGCGTCAAATCTTGAAACTTTTTAATTCTACCATTCGAATGGTTCAACTCTGTGTTGCCGTGAAAAAAGGAAAGTTTTCTCCGAAATTCCAAGAACCTTCTTCACGTTATAGTTTATCTCTGAAAGAACCAGAGACATGCTTCAAAGGGGATATATATGTATAATATACATATATATTTATATATTACATAAAAGTCGTGTAAAGGGCAAAAGAATTCTTTGAAGTCCATGGAATGGAATCCAATTAATCATCACGAAGTGTAGTCCGTCACCCACCCGTCACCCACCCGTCACCCACCCGTCACCCATGAAATGAAACTCGAGCGAGTGCGCTTTGCAAAGCCGATATTTTAATCATCAAGTATGCCCGAACTTCTGTGCAAGGCAAGGCTCCAAAAAAACAGAAACCGAAACCCTGATTCGTTTCGCGTCGCGAAGCCATGGAAAAAACAACTCTCAGATCTCATCAACTTCGATAGTCCTATTCCTGAAACGGGCAAAGAAAAGACGAAGGAATGCGTAATGAGCGAGAACGAATCGGTTCAGACGATTCAAACGGCCATTCCTCCTCCTAAAACCGCGAAAAAGGGAGGAAAACCTTTTTTTTTTTGCAAACATCTTTTTTTTCGCAGATCCTCCGGTCGTGTTTGATATGATGCATCGTAACATGGTTTCAGTATCAACAACTTCCCCCATAAAACCCCCCCTCAACGCCTTTTTTTTTCGTATCTCTTTGGCTCGTCGTCTCGAGATATATTCCAAAAAATAAAAAAATGAGAGAGGAGGAAAAAACATTTTCCCTTTTGATTTCATGTTCCGAAGAATGATAATCTTCCTATATCACACGCTCTCTCTCACTCTTTCTCTCTTTCTCTCTCTCTCTCTCTCGATGAGGGAGGGCAACAGAATAATTCCCCCCTTTAGTTATTAGTAATGGTAGCATTTCGTGGTATATAGATAAATAATTGAATAGCGATGCAGGCATCGTAAAATAACTATACAATGGGTATGTACAATAAGAAAGAGGGGTGAATGAATACTGTGGAGGGGCGGGGGGCAGGGGGGGGGGGGGGGGAGTCTCTCGTCCGATGACCCAAAGACGAGGTGAAGGGCCGTTCTCTGCGGAAATCCACGCCGAAATGCGCCGAATGGGCATCGGTCGGAAACGAAAATGGCTCTGAATGAACCGGAAATTCTGCCATCGAGGAAAAATTGCACGACACCGATTGGTCCCTCGAAGTCTCGTACACGACACGGAGGGAGACACGAAAAAAAAAATGAAACGATTTTTGCGCGACGCCCTCGGCCATGCCCTCGGTCGTGCTCTCGCTCGTGCCCTCGGTCATGTCCTCGGCCATGCCCTCGCTCATGCCCTCGGCCATGCCCTCGGATCCCCTTCGGCTCGTCCACGGGTCATCTCGTGAAAAGAGGCAATTTCTTTCTTTACAAACTAAGCTATGTTAGATAAGATCTCATATCCTATATTGTACATCGTCCCTCTTTTAAATACGAATCCGAGTCATAAATTAGAGGAATAAATAACGGAATGGCAAAAGGAAACGAATGGACTAGGTCTTCTGCGTGGATAATAAAACAATCCGTGAATGACTAGTTCTTCGCTATCAAAGTAACATTGCAAAGTCGCAAAACGAGGGAAGCTCCGTGGCGATAGAGGTAGCAGCTGCGATGTGCCAAAAAATAAGCAAAAAAAAAACAAATAACCATCATGGTATCGGCATCGGCACCATCGTGGCATCGGCACCATCGTGGTATCGGCACCATCACGAGCGTGAAGACGCAAAGAAATCACGACAGCGATGATATGATGGACTTTTTTTTTGCGGGAGCTTCCTATCTACAGGGAATCCGGACTAGTGCTAAAAAAAAATCATTAATATAAATACTGGAATTGGAAGTGCGTCTGCGGATCATCACAAGCCCAGGACTGCAAGTCGCCAAAAAAAAGGATTATAAAAAAAAGCAGAGAAACGATTTTCGAATTCGGAGAAGTCGGAAACGGAAGAGAAAAGATGAGAAAGAAATCAATCAATAATATTAAAAAATCCAAAATTGGCGTCGGGCGAGATCTCTCTGCAGGCACTCAAACCGCACTCAGAAACTCACTCAAAAGGCATTTGAGCTTCACATATGGCCAATTCGGAAGAGGAGTCCAATGACAAAATTGTTCACACCACCTTGCAATCATATGATATATCATCGTCATGAGAATATAATACTGGCTATACGTAGGCAAGGCGGTGGAAGAAAATATTTGATCGACTCGCACAGTCAGGTAGAAAAATCAAGTATGAAAGTTGGATAATATATCTGAATAAATTTCTTTTTTTTTTTGCTTCTTCTTTCGCTCGTGGAAAAGAAGTGACTAGAGTGTGTCTGCGTGGATCCATCTGCACGAGGAAAAAAAAGGAGGAAGAGCCCTCTGTCTCCCACCCTGGTCCACTCCACCATGGAAAGAATCCTGAAAGGAAGAAAGAGAAATTCTACATGAGAAGGGGAATTCCTCCGAGGGAAGGCGATAAGCTCCACTGAATAAAACACGAAATAAATATTTAAATGCGATGTTCAAAATTCAACTGCGCGGCACCGAACATCGAGGGCAACCCGAGTGCAACCGACCTGGGCCTCGGGGAATCTCTAATAGGGCCTGGCGGAATCCTTGGGTCGTTTGAGCTGGACCTTCAACCTCTTCATGCCGATCTGAAAGCCATTCATCGTCTGGATCGCCGAATGTGCCGACGTCGGGTTGTCGAAGGATACGAAACCTGCGAGGGCGTCGAATTAGAATTCTCATTGAAGAAGGAGAAGGCATTAGAGGCACGTCCGTCTTAATCAAGATGAGATCTCGTTACACAGACATTCAATTAAGAGATTCCAGGCATTATGGAAACTACATTAGCCCCAAAGACGAGGTGAAGGGCCGTTCTCTGCGGAAATCCACGCCGAAATGCGCCGAATGGGCATCGGTCGGAAACGAAAATGGCTCTGAATGAACCGGAAATTCTGCCATCGAGGAAAAATTGCACGACACCGATTGGTCCCTCGAAGTCTCGTACACGACACGGAGGGAGACACGAAAAAAAAAATGAAACGATTTTTGCGCGACGCCCTCGGCCATGCCCTCGGTCGTGCTCTCGCTCGTGCCCTCGGTCATGTCCTCGGCCATGCCCTCGCTCATGCCCTCGGCCATGCCCTCGGATCCCCTTCGGCTCGTCCACGGGTCATCTCGTGAAAAGAGGCAATTTCTTTCTTTACAAACTAAGCTATGTTAGATAAGATCTCATATCCTATATTGTACATCGTCCCTCTTTTAAATACGAATCCGAGTCATAAATTAGAGGAATAAATAACGGAATGGCAAAAGGAAACGAATGGACTAGGTCTTCTGCGTGGATAATAAAACAATCCGTGAATGACTAGTTCTTCGCTATCAAAGTAACATTGCAAAGTCGCAAAACGAGGGAAGCTCCGTGGCGATAGAGGTAGCAGCTGCGATGTGCCAAAAAATAAGCAAAAAAAAAACAAA